TTGCCGAGCGGGAATGATTCACGGCTGGCTGGCTGGCTGGTGGTCCATGCGGAACAACAGACAGACAAAAAAAGAAACAAAGGGAAGGACTGAAGGGAAGCTTGCAAAAAGGACTCCCGATCGGAACTCAACAATTGGAGGGGGAGGCAGGCATGATAAGATCTACCGACAATTTATAGTATAATTTTCACTGCACGCACTCCCCCGTTTCCCAATCGGAACTTGTTGAGAAACGGATGGAGGGGAAAGAAGAGACGAGACGAGACAACACGCCATCTCGGGAGTTCAAGGTTCCATTTCCCACTGCGCGGAAGAGTTCCTCAGCGGGCCTTGGGGTTTGGATCGTTGGTTGGTTATGCCTGTTTCTTCTTCCCTCTCGTGCCGATGTCTGCCTGACTAACCGGGCGAGTCAGAAAGGCACCAGAAGAAGACCCGAAAGAGAGAGAGAGAGAGGGAGGGAAAGGAAGGGAAGAGAGCTGAGAGACGAGCCGGATTGGATCCCCTCCAAAAGTCAGTCATCACCCCAAAGCTGCTTGCTGCTTGCTGCTTGCTGCTGCTGTTGCTGCTGCTCCCCGGAAAAGGATCGGCTCATGCATTGATCTGAGGATCGTCTATCTCTCGACCATCTTGTCTCCATCTTTTTGTTGGTACTACTTACTATCATTGCTTGCACAACTGTCACTCCTCATCATAACCTCTTCTGTCGGCTTCACTTGCCCGAACCACAACCACAACCACGCTATATTCCTGCTCGAGACTTCTGCTATTAATTATCATGGTGATTCAAAATCCTACAAGCAGCAGGGGTCGGACCCATTGATCGGTGTGTGTCTCTTTCCCCCCCTCTCTTCCTTTTCCCTCTTTCCTCCGTCTGTCTGGCTTTCCCACTCTTTCCCACTCCCCGGCGGCCCATCGAGGAATTTTGCGTGTCCTGCTCCTCTGCCCAGTCCTAACACGCCTGTCTCCGTCGCGCTGGGTTGCTGACGTCTCGGCCCTTTCAACTCTATTCCCATTCGCCCACAGCTTTCCTCTCCCATTTGCACGTGTCGTCTATCGCTTTACTCATTTTTGATTTTATTATTATTATTGTTTTTGAGCACCTTCGCCCAATGTATCAGATCTTTACTCACGCCTGCATGACTACTAGAGCCCCGTTTTCGGAATTTAAGCGCGCGTGTATGATCGTCTGGTTGCACAGACAGACGTTTTGGCTATCCCTTCCCTTCCGTCACGCACATCAATCCCCGAGATCCCCCTCTCAAATAGCGGGGACCAAGCAAACGTCTGCAAAGACTACCGCAAGCAATGCCTACGTATCCTATCCGTCGCCGGCCGCGCGAGTGTAAAACTTGCCTGCCCTGCCGTGCCAGCAAGGTCCGCTGCGATCGCAATGTTCCATGCGGCAATTGCGTCAAGCGCAACTTCACCTGCTCCTACGGTCGTCCTCCACCCACCGCTCCCAGACCGGCCTCCTTCATCCCTGACCAGTATGGCTCGTCCGCTACGACTCCCGCCACTAGTACGCCTCAATACATGCCTTCCGCGGCTTATCAGCCGGCCGCCCATCGCGACCCTCCCTACGGTGCCGGTCCAGAGTCGGCAAGCTCTGCCAACCAGGATGGTCTATCGGAGATGGTGACGCTGTCGCAAGAGGAATGGGACGAGATTAACTCCAAGATGCAGACCATGGAACAGATTCTGACCAGTCTGGGCTCCCTGTTCCAGGCGCACGGCGCGCGGAAGGCCATCCCCTCCCGATCGGAACTTTCGCAGGAGCAGGAGGAGGAAGACCACTCGCCTGCCTCCGAGGGCATCTATGGGTCAACTACGCTGAGAACAAACTCGGTTCACATCGGATCGAGATCTGCTCTGGTGGACATTCTGGACAAATCGAAGGTTTCGGAGGACACCGCGCAGGCGCTACCCAAAGATGACCTTCTTACCGAGCTGGCGATGGGGAACGAGTCGGCCGCCTACCCCTTCGTTGATCTTTGGTCGTCCGATCCATATACGTTCAATATTTCTGGCGTGTGCAGTGTGCTACCCGACGATGAGCAGTGTCGAAAATTTCTAGCCTTTTATCGAAATATTGGTGCGGTGCTGTATCCCGTATTGCCCGATCTCGACAAGTTTGAACGGGACATGGACAAGCTGTTGCAGGGCCGACAGGCCGCGGGTGGCGTATATAGTCCAGATGCTAATGGCCTAGTGAAGCCGTTTGGCATGAGTGTCTCTTTTCTCAGCCTTCTATTCGCCATTTTAGCGTCTGGCTCTCAACTATCTGATCTGCCGGGGAAAGAACGAGAGTTGACCTCGTGGGTATACGGTTGGTCGACACCTCCCCCATACTAGCCCCTATTCACTCCAGACTTACCAGCCTTAGTGTCCTGTTCTTACCATTGTTTGCGCATGTTGAACTATGTGTCTCAGCCATCCCTGGAGGTGATCCAGATCCTCTTGATCATCGGCAGTGTCTTGTCGTACAATATGAATGCAGGCGCATCTTACACATTGCTGGGTGAGTACCATTCGGACGCACCAAGGCAGCAGCTCAAAGCTAACTGTTCGAACGAAAGGAATGACGGAGCGTATGTGTATGGTGCTGGGCCTTCATGTCGAGACCTCGGGGTTTCCACGAGCCACGCAAGCGGCGCGGAGAAGAGTATGGTAAGGGGCATTCCCGAGATTTCTGAAAGTGACGGCGGTATTTTCGGAGGCTAATGCGCAATGCAACCAGGTGGGCGATGGCCTTTCAGAACAGTCATTTTTCCTTGGCGTATGACCGACCGTCCATTACCATGATCAATCAGCCGGAGATCCCGTACGATCCGAAATCGATGCCTGGCCACCGAGGGTATTTCGAAACACTTTGCCGTCTGATTCAGGTGGTCCTCGATATGCTGCGAGGGCTGATGTTCACCCATCATACCCACCTGCGGTACCACGAAATCCGGGAGTATAAGCAACGCATTGAACGAATCATTGCCGAGGCTGCACCGCATCTGAAATCTCGCGAACGCTGTGCCACGCTAGGGGAGCATATCGAAAGAACCGAACTGCGGCTGCATTCCTCGTATTTTATATCTCTCATGTGCCGAGTTTCGTTGGATCCGGATACTCCGATGGATGAACAGCGGCGCGAAGTTGTTCGGGAGGATTGCTTGACGAATTTGATAAACACGATCGAGGCCTTCATCGAGCTGCATTCCATCAATTCCCATGCTTCGCGAACCTGGATCAGCCTGCAACGAACAATCGCGTCAGCTTTTCTTTTGGTAGCGAATAACAATGATCAGTTGCATCCACAGACGTGGGACTTGATCCAGAAATTGGAAGCGGTGCTGTCAGACCATGTTCATGGCGATGAGAGCAGCGACCACAACAGCAAGACGGACTCTGCAAAGCATCTTGCATCTTCCCTTCACGCTCTCCGGGAGGTCAGTGCCGCCTTCCGTGCGCGCAAACTGCGTCACCGAGTGGTGCCGAAGGTGGTACCTAACATGCAGAACACTTCCCCTGCCACCTCGTTTGCGTCGCCATCCTCCACCCTGGGATCGGGGATGCCGACGTACTCCTCTGGCCAGAGCGTTTCGCCCGACGGGCATATTGACAACATTCTTAACCAGGTTTCGGATGTAATGCTATTTCCCAGCATGAGTTCGGGAAATGCTTGACCCATTAACCGGGCCGCAGTCAGCCAAAAAAAAAACATGATAGTTAGTGAATTTGTGCGACGGCCCCAACGGACGCGGGCGCACGGGCTCACCCACCCCGTTCCCCTATTAACCCGCCGTTGGGCGCATGAAGAGCCCCGTAGAGAGTACACCTACACAAGTGAGGCGGCCGAGAGAAGTCGGACCAACAGACTCCTCTGTTGAACAACCGCGTCAGTCATGCCGCATATATTACAGTGTGCCCTTGGGTGAGCCACGATGGCCATATAATGCCACCGTCGTCAAGCTTCCCCCCCTATCTTCCCCCTTGAAAACAGAACTAGCGGTGTGAAGAGGTTGAAGACTCGAGCAGGATGCACCGATTCTTCAGACCCAGCAAGAACGAGGTGCGCGGGGAGGGGGGAGTTGTTCATCCCACCCCCAGGGTGGTGAGGGGAGGCTACCGATGGGTTGAGGGAGAGGCGAGGCCAGGCCAGGCAGCGGGCGGGTATTTGTAGCGGAGAGGATGGGCGGACCGGGCGTGAGAAGCGCCCACCCCCTCCCCTTCGCGGCAGGCGTGGATAGCGATGAATGAAGATGGGCTGCTGCGTCTTAGGTTTGGTTGACGACGAACTTGACTCGCGGATCAGGCAGCTTCCATGCCCGGCCGAAGAATGACCGCTTCGGCCGAAGACAACGATCGCCCGAACATTCCTCCCGGAATTGGCAGTTCGTCGGTTTGGGTTGGAAGACCATTTCAGTTCGGTTCCGAATGTTCTGTAATAATAACAATAATTAAACAATACCTATTTTTTCTTTTAGAGTTTGATTAGATGATCTTGTCGTTCTCGACTTCTTCTCCCCCCATTTCCCACCCCCCACCCCTTCAGAAATATTGGTCGTGATCCTTTTTCCTTCCTGGTGTTGTCTTCCCTCTTCCTGCCGGGCGCCGTAACAGTTGGGAGTAGCTTCGCGGTCATTTCCTTTTGCACGTTGGGGGGCGGGGGGGGCCATCTAATGCGTGCTAAGGCAGGTTAACGCCATCTTCACCAGACATGCGAGTAGATGGCGATGAATCTAGCAGCAAGTGGGCAGTGACTTTCAGAGTGAGAAAGACCAAAGCCAGAATGGGAACACAAAGAAAACTAGGGAGATGAGGCTACGAACCAAACGCCAGGCTGTCTTTGACTTGACTTGAATCCACCTCTCGTTTCAAGTGAGTTACTGCCCTGTTGTTCGGCCGGATAGCACCGATCCATGAGCCGAACGGGGAGACCCGGAAAATCCGAAATGAGAAAGGGGGCCCAGTAGAGAAAGAGAAAAAAAAAAAAAAAAAAAAAAGAGGGACGGTGGCGAACTACTATTACCCCAAAGTACTAGCATCTAATCCACGCACACCAATGTTATGTGTCACGACTCACGACTATCTAACTAGAGAATGCTGCAGACCATCGCTCGTGACAGGGCTGCGGGGTTGACCGTTGAGCCTAAGGATGGATGGATGGATTGATTGATTCATTCCTTGGTCGGTCGAACCACTTCTTTTGTGCCTCGGAGCCGAAGAAGGGGAAATTGAACATCTCTTCTGTTCCAGGCCTTTAGCCCTGACTCGTCCTCTCTACTCTTTCACTCTCGTTCTCTGCCTCTTCCAGCAAACACTCCGCGGACCCCGATCGTCGGATTCCAGCGTGCTCTCTCTCTCTGCCTTGCATTCTATTAATGCAAGTACCGTGACACACTAGGGCGAACGCATGAAAGACTATATCATATCCGGAATGACGATCGTCGGTGGATGCTAGCCCTTGGGACTCTCTCTAGTTTGTACTCCCTGCCTTGGTTTGGTTGTGCCGGCGGCGTTTGTCTTTGTCCTATTCCATATCCAACACTACTTACTTACTCCCGGCAGTTGTCGCACTTGAGGGAGGAGGGGTGTCGCGTCAGTCCACCACCACCACCACCACCACTACCCAGCCAGCCAGCCAGCCCGTCAGACACACGAAAGTGATCATACAATCTAGGGCAGGGATTCGAATCCAGAGCGGTTAGAGCCCATGTCTTGCCGAGTCGGACGTTTAGGGATGAACGTGCACGGATAGCAGATTGGTAACGGCCATCCTAATCCCCTGAGCGGTATAACGCGCGCTGCGGTTGCAGCCAGGATCTGAATGGCTGGCTGGCTGGCTCGCTAGCTGGCGTGGGGTTGGGCGCAGTAATAGTCTAGGAGACACAGTAACTGGGTATGTTCGACCCTGGGAGAGGCATACCGTATGATCATCTTCCTTTGAAGGATCCGGCCGAAACGATTGTCCCAGTTCAATCCGGCACGTGGTTACGGACCCTCCACGGATATACCCTTCGGGGAAGGACGTGATGCTTAATTGGTCTGTTCCTGTATCCTCATGCCCTTGACCCCCCTGTCTATTGTCTCTTGTCCATCGGATATACGGTTGAAGTTGAACCCTGGGTTCAACTGCATGACCGTTGTGACGTATGCGCCAAGGAGACCGGACGTGCGGAAAAGACCTCATCCTGTCAAGGCAGACACGTTCTTAGTCCTCCTTATCGCGGTGATATTGTTCGCGGGGATGATGACAGGAAGTAGGACGGTGGGACTGGGGCCGGACTTGCCTGGTCGACGTTATGCAGTACGTAGTAGCGTATACCTTTGTGTATTCTTTCTGTGCGGATGTGAGGACGGAGCTAGTAGCAGATGATGACTCGTAGTAATGTAGATCACGAGCGTAGAGGAAACTGAAGTACGAGATCAAATCCAACTTCTCATCCTGTCGTCCGAGTTAGATGGAACCTCAGGCGCTCCGAGGGATCTCGTGACGAGGCGCACGGATTGAACTTTCCTCTTTGACTCTGGCTCCCTCTGGATGTCTATCAATGCCACCTGGCTGAGCTTGTCTGCTTCTCACTTCTTGATTGTAAGCTTATTATCTGTTTGTCTTTTCATCACGGACCGTGAATCAGCTATCATAATCGATTCGTTGAGGATGAGATTGATTGCAATCAGTTGGACATGCCAAATGGTTCAATGGCATCTCAGTCAGTCAACGGTTCACCATACAGGAAGCAACAGGAAAGACCATACATGGTTGTAATCATCCAATCAGTGCACGATAATGGCATGGATGCCTCAGCGGTACCTATCAGCTGGACGAAATGCTCAGACATACCTTCATTCACACCTCACAATTGCATCCGCTAGACACTACCTGCATCTATCCAGCACTTAATACACACTAAGAGTGAACCAAAGGACTTACCTCACACACTAACCCATCCAAACCAGCAGTGCCCGGCAAACATGAACCCTGGTAAGCCTCGCTTCATCTCTTTTCACCCCCTAAGAACCAGATAGTAATAGAACCCCCATTCCACGGCTTGACCCTCCTCACTAAACACAAGCTAACAAACTCTCCAAGACACTAGACTATCTACATCCCGTCAGAAAAACCTACTCTAGATGCCGATCTAGCAAGTTCTCCTTTGTGGATACCCCTCGGCCAAGGCCCGGAAAAGACCGGAAATTGGTTCCTTCGAGCGACATTATCCATCTCGCAAACCGGTGCTGGTTCGATCGCAGCCGGGTGTGTTTTATGGTAACTAGATCGATCCCTTTTTTGAGCCAGGGGCTAGAACCGTGGTTCGGAAATATCTTCCAAGGGGAAATGACAGGCCCGACCTTGTGGAATTGTGGAAAGCTAGTTTGAAGGCCACACGCGCGATCCGTGGGTACGATGAGACACATCTTCCGTCCTTCGGTATGGATGTACGCGCTTTCGGCCGCAGGTTACTTCTTTAATGCCGTTTCTCTTTACGTGCAGCACTGTTGTCATCACTGGATTGACACGCAGAATACCGCAAGGGATATGATGGGCACGGACAATGGGGGTTGTTTTTTCTCCCAGCGGGTTAGCTTCATTAACACTGAAGAATTTTTACGCTCGGAGGGGTTTGTTTGGCTTGCGAACATGCATGGCCTCGCTTAATTGGGAGGCTGACTTGATCCGTTAAGCCTGCTTCACTGATGGTTGCAGTTGATGGTTAACTAGCCGAAATTTCTTAGCTTCGCGTGGCACTAGGAATGCTCTCGCCGGGCTAAAGCTCAAGAAATAGCCACAGAAGTTCGTCCTTATTTCTGGCGGCCTTTTGGAATCGGGAACAAGCATATCTTCTGCCATTGCTGTCTACCCATATACTTGCTGATGACATCTGTTCTCGTGCATTTAGTCACCGGTCCCCACATCCTTTCGGAGGAGCGGTGTGAGCACCACGAATCATTGCACACTAGGGGCTGCATGTTGACCAGTGACCAACAAGCATATTCACAGAGATTTGCTAATCTCAGAGATCAAGGATAGTCTAAGCTACTTAGAAACAGGTCCTACGTATTCGAGCCCTCTTCGCGTGCCGAAATGCAACTTATAAGCAGCAACCCGGACCTCTCTGGACTTAACTTACAAGAATTCGATCCTCGACGAGCTTATACCGTTGGCACCAAATACAGGTTCGGAAAAGTGATTTATACATTGGTGAGGTTGGGTGTGAAGGATTGCCTAGGCGATGGCAACGATTTTCTCAGACAGACCTGAGCACTCAGAGACTGTGGCTTGACTAGTGATGCTGAATTAAATATTCTCACTGAGCTCTGCTAAGCTTCGGGGTTGCAAACGATCAATTCTCACACAGTCTAGCCCGTAGACATTGGAAACGGACCCTTGGAGCCAGCCCCGGGATGAGGCATGAAAATTCTACTCAACTACCGTGATGTGTGCGAAAGTGACAGGCCCATAGGTGAAGTGCTTGAAATTGTGCGAGCTCTTTTGTGAGGGCAGAAAAGCCCATTGCTCCTCCTAGTGTGACAGTTACTGTATGAGATGTTCAGCTGCACACCAGCAAACATTTGCAGTGAGGGGAAGCTGAAAGTTGGCGAAAGCGACTACATACATATCCAAGGCCGACGAGCCCAGGGGATGATTGAGATAGGGCGCTAATGATATGTCAAACTACACATGAAGGGGTTCACTTCCCAATAAGTATGATGTCAGTCACTGCAACAGGCTAAACAATGGTGTGTGATCGACTGGGCTGCAATTTGCATCGGCTATGAACGATACCATGCAGCATGAGATGCACTGGGCCGATAGTCCATACTAGCGTCCCTAGAACGAGTTCATCACCCAGCTGACAGTGACACAAAACTCAAATCAGAAATTTGAATGGCCTATCAGACACTGTGACGGGGTACGGTTTCCACAGTTCAAGCAACATCCCTGCTCGGATGACGCTGCTAATAGGTGGGTAAATCTACACTCCCTGCTGTTCGCATGATGTACAATTCGTCTTCGATGCACAAACCCCAATGTGGGCGGCAAGCCACATGAATGTCCACCCCCATAGATGAAGTGTGAAGTCTACACTGCATTGCCTGCCCTCTATCAATAGCCAGTTGCATACAGTTTGCTATCATTCAAAAGTACCAGACAGCCCCTCATAGGCAGCCTACTCTCGACTCGTCGTTCTACCTAGAACCTCGAAACAAGAGAGCCTTTAAGACCATGACCCTCACTACAGACTACCATTCAGGCAAAGCCTACGTCGTAACCGGCGGCTGCTCAGGCATCGGCCTCGCTATCCTCCACTACCTCCTCGCACGATCCGCCATCGTCCACATCCTCGACATCTCCTCCACCCCACCACAAGTCCCCTCCCACCTCCCTCAGAAAAACCTGCATTTCTACCCTAATACGGACGTCACCTCCGGCTCTATCGTCCGAAATGTTTTCACACAAATCCGAACCATCACCACGACAATCCACGGCCTGATCAATAACGCCGGAATTGCCTACCAGCCTGTCGTTACAGGATTAGAATCGGATGAGCTCTTCGACCGAGTCATGGACGTCAATGTCCGCGGCGTATGGAATGTTGGCAATGCATACCTCTCGCACATCCTCTCGAGAGAGGCCGATGAGCAGCCTAACCCGGCGGCAGCCATAGAAGGAAGGGGTGTGATTGTGAATCTATGCTCCATCGCATCCTTCCACGGAAATCTGGGGTATGTGTCGTACACGGTGAGCAAGCATGCCGTGCTGGGCATGACGAGAGCATGGGCGACGAATTTCGCGGCCCAGGGGGTGAGAGTAAACGGCGTGGCGCCGGGGGGTACGGATACGCCCTTATTACAGGGCATCATGGCGAAGACGGATATTCAGGAGCAATACGAGAGTCAGGTGCCGTTGGGCAAGAGATGTGCTAGGCCAGAGGAGATAGCTGATGCGGTTGGGTTCTTGTTGGGGAAGGAGTCGAGCTATATGACGGGGCAGGTGATTACTGTGGATGGGGGGAGATATGTGTGATGATACACTCATCTATTCTAACCAATACTACTATCTCCATAAACCCCCCCGAAACCCGAAACCCATCATAAATCTGATCATCCGCCATCTCCATCCTTCTACCCAACCCTAATCATATTAATCGTCCTCCGACTCTGATTCCCCCATAAGATAATTAGCAAGCACAAACCGCAGCCCAAACCACCAGATCCGTCTGATTACTCCCCTCCCCATCAAAGACCTCGTCAAAGCTAATTACAGGATCATACACATCCTGATTATTGTACCGATGCGCAGACCGCGGCTCGTAATCATGTTGCTTCGTGATCCGGATGGCGTATTCGGACCGGTGCGCTGCGTGTGGATGAGAGTAGTTGAGAATTGGTGATTGTTAAGTGTCCGGAGAAGGTGGGGGTGAGGTGCATCATTTGGTATTAGACCAAGATAGGAGGTATAGCTTGGATGATCTGGAGGGAGGGAGGGGTACAATTACTTACCTGATTGTGTAGTCGTATTTGCCGTGGTGGATATGTATGATGAGATTATATGTCACTAAGGGATAAAATAGTTGATAATATATATATTTAAAGAGACAGAAACTGTTGATGTAAGTACTATATGAATTTTATTTCAGATATATATAAGGTAGTAGTGTTAAGAGTATTGTAGGCTTTGACAAGTTTGGATATATATTATTAAGGGTCATCTCTTGCGAGAATACAGGTTCCCCAGGAAATATCTCCCGCCGATCAAATAGAGATGTTCCAAAATGGAATTTATTGCGGCACAGATGATTGTAGAGCTTCAAGGATTTCTCCCCTGTTGTTAAACGTGGATAAGGCTGAGACTTCTGCACGGAACCAAAAAGCTTCTAATGCACCGAAGACATCAACAGCACGGTTATACTTTGACGGTTCCAATCGGAAGAGAAGCAGAAGGCGGATGATACCGAGAATTTTGAGGATAAGCTTACGGCAAAGGCGTCGTTGACCATTCTGGTCATGAGTATCTAGCTACATGGTGGCAAGCGTATTCCTTGTCGAAAGCTTTCGGACATACCGAGATCCTTTTGTTGAGGTTGTAAGAAGTGATCGGCTGATGAAGGATCGCTGCAAGAGGAGCGGGGTAGGTTGGGTTTGGTTGGAGGCCTTAAAGTGTGTTCTGGATTCCTCCGTGTCAGAAGAATTGTCAACACAATTGACTTTGAGGTCCCGCAAACGGCCTAATCCTCGCAGTGAGAATTACAAAGCAAGCTATTATGACGGCAAAGATGGTCGAATTGTTGAGAATGACAAGATCGCGGCCATTGAACCTCACATCGCGTGACTGTCTGCCCTTTCTTTTCTTTTTATTCTTTTCCCTTTGTGACTAGTCGTAGACCCCGTGCAGTTCTATATTAGCTACAGGCTACGGGGAGTCCGATCTTCCACGCTTGAATGTAGTACTGGGGATGTCATCCTCGTGTTACATCCTAAGGCCGGCAACCAGGATGTGTCCATAAGGCCGGCCACTGCAAAGGCGATGACTGGTTATTGGTGTAGCCACATATGTCAACATCGGTGGCTAAGGACGGTGAGCACTACAGAGGTCAGACAGAATAAGCAGAACATTGGGATATAAAACCCCAGTAAACTTCAGTGAGCTGCGAAAAGATAGGAAGCCAATCGTCATCGAAATTGTACCCCTGGCAGCATCAAGATGCCCCATGAATACTGCCTCGATGCCCTCGTTGTAGGGACTGGTTTCTCTGGCATTTATACCCTGTACACCCTCATCAAGGAAGGCTTGGCCGTCCAGGCTATCGAGAAGGCAAGTGACGTGGGTGGCACATGGTATGTAAATTCTCAGCGACAGCTGGAGTCATGTTTATCGCTATGCGTTCGACGAAGAACTGCTTCAGTCCCACCCGGTTGTGAGAAGATATTCTACCCAGCCGGAGATCCTGAAGTATCTGAAGCATGTTGTCGAGAAGCATAATCTACGAAATCGCATCCATTTCAATAGGGAGATGGTCGCAGCCAGATGGGATGATACTGCGAAGGAGTGGCGAATACAATGCCAGACTGGCGATATATATCGCGCGAGGTACCTCCTCACGGCTCTTGGGGTCCTGGTCAAGCCCAAGATGCCCCATATCTCCGGTCTAGAAGACTTTAAGGGTCAGGTAGTGCATACATCTGCGTGGGACCCAAGCATACAAGTGGAAAACAAACGTGTTGGTGTCATAGGCGTTGGCTCAAGTGGGGTACAGGTAGTCACTGCTATTGCTAGCAAGGTGAAATCACTTCATGTGTTCATCCGTACCCCACAATATACTATCCCGGCAAACGATAAGCAGTTGACTTCCGAAGAACAAAAATCCATCGATGAGAAGTTCCCACAGTTCTGGTCAGACCTTTTGTCTTCCCGCCTGGGAATGGGCTTTCCGGAGCACGATAGACCATTCATGTCCGTGTCGCCGGAAGAGCGCGAGAAGATCTTAGAGCATCTCTGGAGGGACGGAAACGGTCTCCAGATGATGTTTGCAGGATTTTCAGATCTTGCCACTGACGCAGCGGCCAATGAAGAAGTATGCCGATTCCTTCGCAGGAAAATTGCAGAGATCGTGAAGGATCCCGAGAAGCGGGCTGTTTTGACCCCAAAGGAGGCCTGGAATCGACGGCCGTTGTCAGACGCTGGATACTATGACCAGTTCAATCGGGAAAACGTGTATGCGATCGATATAAGGAAACACCCTATCACCAAGGCCACGGCAAAAGGTATATGTACCGCAGACGGGAAAATCCACGAGCTAGACGTGATAATATTCGCAACTGGCTTTGACGCTATGGACAGAAGCTATGCTCAAATCGACATTCAAGGGCGCAAGAAGGGCGAAACACTGTACGATCGCTGGAAGCGTACGGGTCCGGACTGCTATCTAGGCTGCTCAGTTGCAGGATTCCCAAACCTGTTGACGGTGCTTGGTCCGAGGGTGGCTTTCGGAAACGTGCCTCCGTTGCTGGAGATACAAGTGAGCTTCCTGAGGGACGCGATCCGACAGGCTCAGGACATCACCAGACACACAGGGCAGCAATGTGAGATCGAAGCCACGGAACAAGCTCAGCGCGAATGGACTGAGGTGTGCGAGCGGATAGCAAAGGTGCTTCTTTACGACAAACACTCCACTTGGATGTTCAGGGAGAACGTATCAGGAGAAGCAACATCGAGTCTATTCTACTTTGGGGGTTTGCAAGCCTTCCGAGCCAAGCTGGAAGATACAAAAGCCCACGGGTTTGCTGGGTTCAAGAGCCCATTAGGCCCCGCTGCAGAAATTCGCGCACAGCTCTAGATTGAATGCTTCGTTTGGTGTCGATGTACCGACTGTTGGTTTGTATTGTATTACACAACCAAGTCTGCGCTTAATCAATCTTCGTGTGCCATTAGTAGGCCTATGACAGAATTCTCTGGTGAGAGGTTTAAGTACGTCCAAATAATGACCTCAGGCATCACTTTCGCTCGATTAGGAAGGACCCCCTGTCAGCCTCGTCGCGTCCCACACTTTGGACTGGCGCGTCGCCATTGGCCAAGAGAGCAGAGTGGATTTTCGCGATTCTTCCAACATCTCAGAGATTCAAGAGGTTTTATTGGTTAGGGGAAACTGCAAAGGACTGTTAATTGCGTCGGTGGAGACAATGACCATGTGCCTGGGATGACGTTGTCCTTACTTGCGGTGTATGATACGAAATAAGGCTGTATGACGTTAGATAGGTAAGTCTAATTGGTGTTGCCGTTGATCTCATTGTGATCTGGGCTTCCTTGTCGGATTATCAAAGCACTGCGATAACTGTAATGGCTCTTACTCTGCATGGTAGCGAGGGAGAAAGCGAATAATACAATAATTAGAACTGCATACATAGAAAAGTATGTAAGTATAGGAGCTTAGATTCGCACAGTAACAGCTCTGAAATTGACATTCTTCTTTTGACATTGTACTTATCGGCCATTCCTTTTGTCTTAAGTATGTCCGAATCATCAAGAAGGGCTTGATATGGGATCCATCCCCGCCACAAATTATCTGTGTCAAGTGCTATCGCTACTAAGAAGGACAGAGAGACCTCACTACCTTCTGCCTGAGATGATATCAACTGAGAATCATAATAAAACGTCAGCCGTTGAACTTCAATACTCGCTCTCTTCTCTTGTATCTTTCTAACCAATAATTACGAGGATACTGATAAATGGAATTAGATGGAACTTGAGACCTATCAATAATGAAAGAAGTAAGGCCGTGGTCTAGAAACAAGAGAATTAAGCTATTGAGCGTTACTGGCCACCAAGTAAGTCCAAGCACGCACTGGACCACCCACGCCATAACTTCAAGTTCCTCTTCACCCCCTCCAAGCCATTTCCCACTTTCCTTACATCAAGCAAAAGGCCGTGACAGAGTTCAGGCTGTGCCTGCCATGGCTGTTCTGTTCGCCGGTTTAATCATGCAGAAACTCTCCGTTGTCACGGCTGAGAGCATCCTCCAGAAGCTCACATGGCCAAGAAATGTGCCGACAGCTTAAAGCTTTACCCCAGATTATTCCGCAGCCGAATATCCATTCTGGCTGAATACCGGCTATTTGATGCTACCCTGCAGATAGTTACAACCTGAAGAATCACCAGTGGCCCAGCCCTGCAGTGGCTCTAACGGGATCTGTTACGGAATTCGGCCCGCACGACGATCTCTAACCGTTTCGAACTGGAGTTTCCACTCCGTGTTGTCTATCCCAGACTCCTCATGTCGGAGCTGTCACGGCTGTCACAGTCGCCCTGCTTAATCTCCGCGATGAAATCAGCCTACACTGGTCTTTCCTGAGCCTCGACTACGCAAAATACCCACTGAAACCGATACTTCCCACAACTATAGAAACATACAATAACTCCATGATTTTTAAATTTATCCGCTCCCTGCAAAGCTATAAATCGTTGCCAGACCCCTCTGGCGCCTTTGCTACAAACCCAAGCCACATCTTCGCAACCTGACCTCCCTGCCTAGCACGGCAGAAGTAACTCACCATGCTATCAACCCACCTCCTCTTCCTCGCCACCACCCTCCTCACATCCCTCTTCCACCCCATCGCCGCCCATGTCGCCAAGCGCAGTGGCAGCCTCCAACAAATCACCGATTTCGGTGATAACCCCACAGGTGTAGGCATGTACATCTACGTGCCTAACAACCTGGCCTCGAATCCAGGTATCGTGGTTGCAATCCACTACTGTACGTCCCCTTACTTCTCTACATTATCTACCACACACCGTGCAGACAACAATACTAAGTAAAGGATATAGGCACCGGCACTGGCCCCGGCTACTACAGCAACTCCCCCTACGCCACCCTCTCCGAGCAATACGGTTTCATCGTGATCTACCCGTCCAGCCCGTACTCCGGAGGCTGCTGGGACGTGAGTTCGCAGGCAACGCTGACACATAACGGAGGTGGAAACAGTAACTCGATTGCCAACATGGTCACCTGGACGATTAGCGAGTACGGGGCGAATAGCAAGAAAGTGTATGTGACGGGATCGAGCTCGGGGGCTATGATGACGGTATTTCCCCATTCCCTCTTCCAATTTGTTCCCTCTATACACATCAACATAGTAGCACAGTGCATACTGACTGGGAAAAGAACGTAATGGCAGCAACCTACCCTGAACTCTTCGCCGCCGGCACCGTCTACTCCGGCGTCTCAGCCGGCTGCTTCTACTCGGACACTAACCAAGTGGACGGATGGAATTCTACCTGCGCACAAGGAGACGTTATCACCACCCCGGAACACTGGGCTAGTATTGCCGAGGCAATGTATCCAGGGTACTCGGGAAGCCGGCCAAAGATGCAGATCTACCACGGCAGTGTGGATACGACGCTGTATCCGCAGAATTATTACGAGACGTGCAAGCAATGGGCTGGAGTGTTTGGGTACGATTACAGTGCACCGGAGTCGACGGAGGCGAATACTCCGCAGACGAATTATGAGACGACGATTTGGGGAGATAATCTGCAGGGAATCTTTGCGACGGGCGTGGGTCATACGGTGCCGATTCATGGGGATAAGGATATGGAGTGGTTTGGGTTTGCTTGATTTGGGGATGAATCGGAAGAGTGGAAGGCTCTCGAGATGAGGAATGATGAAGCATCTGAAGTATGACAAGTCAGTGGTTTTCGCCTCAACAAGCGTTACCTTGAATCTCTAGTGCTACAAATTACACCATGAAGTAAATGCGCGCTCATTATCAATTCCACGATAAATCCACGGATAAGCAACACGAGAGCTGCTGTAGGCAGAACCAGACGTGATCGCTCCTGGGTAAGGAGGATGGAAGCTTGAGAAAGGAAAGCATAACAAGTCAGTAGCCGCGAAGTCAGAAACAGCCTGTTCTTCATCCAGCCCATCACCCCAAAAGGACAGATCCAGCCCATCACCCATATGCTGCTGTATCTTTCTCCACTCGACAGGAACAGACTGCTCGTCCGCTCTGGATTTACCACAAATCTCACGAATCCCGACCACATAAGATACTAAAGCTAACCGTGACACGGGTTTTTGCAATGGATGAGTCAACAGATCAACGTTCCCTATCGGAGGGACTGCCGTACGGAGTAGTATGCACGTAGTAAGAACGGAATCTGAAGGCGGCCCATCACATCATGTATTATCCCGAAAAAAGTAAAAAAAAAAAAAAAAAAAAAAAAAAAAAAAAAAAA